TAGACTTCCTCCTCGTCCTCGTTGCCGCTGCCGCCGGGGAGGGGACGGCGAGTGCCAAGGGAGTTGCGAGACGCTTGCGAAAGGAAAGAAGCCGACTTGGCGACGGACTCGAGAGCCTGGCGGGCAAGCTCCTCGTTGTCATCGGCCGAAATAGTGCTCTCGCGGCTCTTGCGAGCGCGCTCTTGAACCCGCTCCTGGATGGCCGGTGGCGGCGTGCCAGGAATCATTTGGGAGTTGCTGTACCGGTACCGAGGCTCGCTCTGGGGCACCAGGTTCACAGAGGGCAAGAGGCCAGATTGCTGCTCGTGGCGCTGGGTGCGGGAGAGCGGCGTCGTTGGCAGGGCGGACAGAGACTGTGCGTTTCGGGTGTGCTTGGGAGGCATGCGGGGCGCGGGTCTGACCGCCGTCGTGGGCGTCGAGGGCGCGCTGTTGTTGTCCTGGCTGAGAGCCTGCAGCAGAGCCGCAATGGGCTCGGGGCCGTGGTCGCGGTCGACCACCCTGGCCTCGCGGTTGGCCGACCGAGGCGTCTGCTGCTTGGGGGTAGCTCGGTGAGGCTGCTGGGGAGTTGAGACGGTGGGCTGCTTGGGCGTCATGGCACCGTGAAAGATCCCGCCTGGGCTGCACAGCATGTGAAAATGTTCCCGATTCTCCCGGATGCGGTTCAATAGCATGTCGCGCTCCTCTGTGAGGCCGATAATTTCCTCCTCCTTGTGTGAAATAACCTTCTTGGCCATCTTGACTCGGCGCACGAGGCCTTCGTTCTCGTCCATGGCCTCTTCATACCACATCTTCATCTGGAGGTACTTCATTTGCGCCGATTCTGATGCGGCGCTGAGTTCGCGGACGGCATGGCGGGAGTACTCTGCTGTTCTGAGGGCCTCAATCTCTCGCCTGGTCATCTCGTGCTCCACGGCTGCCCTCTTGGCATCTTCGTCCGCCTGGAGACTCAGCAGGTTGTACTGAAGCTTGTGGTGCGCGGCCTCCATCTTCAACTTGGCGTGTTCTGCGATGCTAGCCTGCATCATGGCTCGAAGTTCGTCTGCGGTGGCTTCGACGACCTGCTGCGGGGCGGGTGGGATGTATTCCGTCCCAAGACCTCCATCTCGTCGTACCGTCGCGTTGTGGCCTGTGGCGGGCGGGGAGAAGAGAGCGGATCGCTGAGAGGCGCCGTATGCGGTCTGCAGAGCGCCGTTGCCGGTGTGCGCGAGCAATTGTGATGAGGGGGGCGGCGTCAAGGACGAGGGAATGACGGCGGAGGAACTCAGACGGTCGTCGTTGACTTCGGTCTTGAATGATTGGTTGGATTCGGCGGGCGATGCGGGCACTTCAGTAGAGGGGAGTGTCACTTGTGATGAGTTCAATGCGAGGACGTCGTTGTCTTGAGGTGTCGTGGGAACGGTTGTGGTGTCGTTGGGGTGCTGGGCCGCAGCATCGGGGGCGGTGGCCATAGTGGAAGTGGGAGCGATCGTTGGAAGCAAGCGAGCTACCCTTAGGATGCGATCGGATAGAAGGTGTGAATGTTGGTAATTAATTGAAGCTATAGCAACGCGGGGTAGCTGTATGTGCGACTCTGGTAGAGAAGTGCCGGTCTGGGAGCTTGAGGTGGGTGAGTGCGGAGAGGAGGCGTCGCGTTGAGAACCACGTCAGCGATAGAAACAAGGTAGCGTGGATTGGTTCAGAGAAGCCGGCGAAGACAGAAGCAAGACAGAGCCGAAGAGCGTTGGGTTTGATGCAGAGATATAGAGACGAGGTGGCGGGGAGGAAAGGGGGAAAGAGAGCAAAGGCTCCTTGGTGGTGTCTCTGTGCTCAACCGAACGCTCTTTGTCTTCCGCACGGTTTGACGGTGGACGGGTGGTAGCGTGTGTGTGTGTGTATGTGTATGGTGTGGTGTGGATGTGGTGGTGTATTGGCGATGGTTGGTGGGCGGTTGCTGTGGGAGCAGATGGAAACGGAACGGCGCCAGAACCCAGAGCAGAGAGCACGAGCCAGCGGAACACCAACAAAAAGATGGAAGACAATCAGCGGACGGCCGGGGCTGGGGGAGGAGGTGGAAGTGGACGGGGGGGAGCTGGGCCGCGAAGGGAAAAAGCAAGAAAAAAAAGAAAGGCTGGCGGTGGGCGGCTGAGTCGACGCTAGTCCCAGACAGGATTCGGGGTGGGCTCGGTGAATGTGGAGGTGAGTGAGGTGAGTGAGGTGAGGAGCATGGGCCAGGTCAAGGTGAAGGGTAAGTGATTTAATTGGTTTCTTCACCGAGACGCTAATCATTCCGTCTTTGTGCTCCCAGGACTGCCCCTTTTCTGCTAATTCATTTTCACAAAAGCCACCAAGGGCACCAGAGGCTGGGAACGGAAGCCGATTGCTATAGCCTCATTAACTCCAACCTCCAATATCCCTATAGGGTAAGGATGATACTGTTTTATGTTTTCTTTCGTTCCCTCTTAGGTAGGTATCCATTGACTCGCGACTATCCATCCGTACATTAATCACGCCTTGAGGTATCCCAGAATCACCTCCTTAAACTGCTCAAAGTTGTCGACAAACGGGACGTGACCCGCGTTCTTGATCAACTTGAGCTCAATCTTGTTGTCCTTGCCAGCCGCCCTGAATCCCTTCTCCACCTTGTCCCGCATCTCCTGCATCGCCTGGGGAAGATTCGCGTCCTTTTCACCAACAACCAGCAATGCTTCATCAACACCAGATCCAATCCTCTCAAACAGTGGTCGGATATCGAAGCTGTCGCTCTGCAGCGCAAAGCAACACGTCTGGAATCCCTCCACGGTAGTCTGGTTCATGATGGCGCGTGCCCGAGCCGCTTCCTCAGGGTTGGCCTTGATCCATTCGGCGCCGAACCAGCGGTCCATCGTCTGGTCGACCTGGGCCTCCATGTTGCCGGCCTCGCCCGCCGCTTTGGCCCGCGGGCCGAACAAATCCTCCACCCCGGCGTGCTTGGGCGACGAGCTGATGGTGTCGCAGATGGCCACCTTTTGGATGATGCCGGGGTACTTTGTCGCAAAGTAGAAGCTCGTCGCGGCGCCCATGGACACGCCGATCCAGGCAAACAGCTTCTCAATCTTGAGAGACTTGACCAGAGAGTGCACGTCGTCGGCTATCGTCTCGAACTCGGTGTTGAGCTTCTTTGGTGCGGACGACTTGCCGTGGCCCGGCTGGTCAAAGCGCAGCGTACGGAAGCCGTTGGCGTGGAGAACCTTGACAACATGATCCCAGAGCGTAAAGGGCGCCGCAAGCGAGTTGGCTAACAAGACGACGGGCTTCGAGTCCGGGCCCGAGAGGTCGTATGAGAGAACGCGGCCGTCGGGGAGGTTGAGTTGCTGTGCAGATGCCATTTTGAATCCCACTCTTGTACAGATATTGAGTGCTCAGATCGTGAGATGATGCCTGTTGATGCTCGACAGTATTCCGCAGAGTACACACGACAGGTATGAGTGTTGTAAAGAATGCAATGAACTAGATCACAGTACGAAAAAGCTACGGAATGAAGTGACGGACCTTCCGTGATTAATACCACAGAGACGACAACCTCAGCCTTTTGTGACTTTCACGTCATCGTCATGTGACGGCCGCGGGGTCGGATCGGAGTGGCAGCTTTCGGGAACTGGCAATGGTGGGGTTGCCTCCTGCCCGGCACCCGATGGTCTCAGACTCCACGTTCCAGCCTTATCTAATCAAGATACGTACACTTCCTTTCAGGTAGGTACCTAGCACGGGCCACTCAAGCTCCAGCTCAAGCTCCTGCCTCCAGCTTCTTCTCTCTCACTCGCATCACGCACAACCAGCTTAACAACGCTCCAAAGCAAAAACTGAGTTGGGCAAATCATTAAGAGAGAACACCCGAAGAAACTGTGCGAAAGATAAAAGTGCAAAAAGTAAGGTGCGTCAAGGACAGGATTCGAACCTGCGCGACCGAAGCCACTGCCTAATCTGGAATCAAGGTTTGATAGCAGGGCAGCCCATTAACCACTCTGGCACCTTGACTAGTGACTATTGTTGAAATCCGAACTCCCCCGACGCCCTGAGTACCGTCTGCGCAGCACCCCAGCCGCCCGCTCATGGAGCGCGATCGCAGCCGGTATACGATTTCGCCTCAAAGGTAGGAAGGGGTAGGAAAGCTCGAAATTCGTGTTTGCGCAAGAACTGAGGTGTAGTCGACCAACATTGGCAAGCTGCTTGAGAATTGTATGGGAAAGGTAACGATTAACTGGCAGGAGAGAGGAAAGAAAACAAGTCTAAAGCAAAATGTCAGAGAGAAAATCTTTCAGAGCTAGGCACCTTACTCGGTCGCAATGGCCACTTGCTGCCCCTGGTTCACTGCAACCTAAAAGTGTGGTGGCGGCAACAGAACAGCGAATAACCGTGCTTGACGGCGTCACTGTCAACGGCCCATGTTTTGAGTTTACTTGATTGTCTACCAAAGAAAAAGAACAAACATTGTTTGAATTGATTGATTCTTTCAAGATGAACTTGCTTTTTCTTGAAATTCACAGTCAGTCTATGGAACTTTCAAATGAATGGTAGCCTATATGGACCGTGAGAGATGGCAATAATGGATCAGAACCCATCCAAATGTGTTTATCAAATGTGAAACATCAACTTGGTTGGGTAGCAATCAGAGGTATAAATATTTGTATGACAGCACGTGAAACTGTCACAGCGTTCACACAAAGAAGCCAGTATACAGCGGTTTCAGAGCTATGATGGATTCCTGTCAACTTATGCTCCTCATCACTCCCAACCATGAATTGATAATACTCACAAGTCTCAGAGCGGGTGGTTGCAAAAGTCGAGTCCCATTCAGCAACGCCCGACTCTTCTTCGGTCTCCCTTGCAACTGCTGGAACGCCATCCGGACATGCCTCTCATCAACTGGCTTCCTTAGACCCTCCGGTTCAGCAAATAACCCACCCAGGCCCACCGTCAGCCCTCTTTCTTCTCCAGCTAAGGCCGTCCCCTCTCTGAGACGGAGCGCCTCCTGCTTCTGGACTTTAAGTGCCTGTGCCGTCAAGTTTTGCACCATTTCACCTGTCAGGAACCCCAGAATATCCATCACATCATCATTCGGCTTGTTCTCTGCAATCACGCCCAATCCACACCACTCTCGAAACCTCTTGGCCTTGCGGTAGGTCAGCGACGCATGACGGTACTCTGACCACGTCGCGTACTCGGCAACAGTCATATCCCTCGTCCGCTCATCATTTCTCCTCAGCTTCTCGAGCGCGGCCTCGTTGCTTGTAATCTCCACCAGATCCTCCTGGCTCGCCTCGGTAACTTGTTCAGAAAAGTAGGACGCCGCGTCCCAGGGGAGTGTGACGGTAGGCAACTTGGCCTTGCCGCCGGCAGGGGCGTCGTCTGCGGGAGCGACGACGTTTTCTTCTAGGTCGGCTTCGTCGACGAGGCCTTCTTTTTCGTCAGAGTCTTTGACGGTTCTGCGGATGGCTTTCCAGGTGAGGAAGATGCGGAGGCGTTCGACGCGGGCTTTGTCGTGGCGGACTTGAAAGATTAGGTCATTGTTGGAGAAGACGCGGGAGCCGCGGCGGGCGGCGAGGTCGTTGGCTATTCTGAGCTAAATGGTGGTGTTCAGTAGATGATCAACATTATCGTGGGAAGAGAGATCCGAAGGGGAAAGTGGCGCGGGTGAAATACCATGTGAACGACTTGATCTCGGATGATTTCCTCAATGAGTTTGGTGGTCTGGATGGAGACGTCCTGGGTCTCTCCTGCAATGTACATCATCTGTTCGGTATTGAGTCACTAGTCAGAGATGGCGTCGCTTTGGCACGAGGTATCGTGATACAAAAACGGAGCCGTGAAAGGGAGAGGAACAGGGCGGTTCATTGAAGCACATGGATGCCAACTAGAGGTGTTTCCATAGGTGGGGTAAAACGTGTCTAAGCATCACTATGATTTGAAAAGACTCACCTGTTGAATCTCCTGTTTAAACTTGGGCTCCATGACCACGGCAGGGGCCGGGTGGTATTCTGACCCAAGACGAGGGGAATTGGGTGGATGTCAAGCTAACGGCCAGGGAAGGACGGTAACATAGAATTTGAACCAAAACAAGCAATGACCGAGTTCCGAATACGATATACAGAATTCTGAGGACTCAATACTGTAGGCATGGCGAAGATGTCAGTGGAAGAATTCATCTTGGCTATTTTATACAAGCGTGTAAGACGCTGTTGGTGCGAGATCAAGACTTGACACTGTGCTCTTACAGCTGGTGGTGGTGCGTGAGTTGGGGAGACAAATTGGGGACAAAAAGGCGCGGGGATGGCTTTACTTCGATCAATTTTGTCGATTGAAGGCCGGGTTGCTGACAACAAGTCCCCTTACCCATGAAGTATGACATCTAACTGGATCACTCCAACTACTCGTCTCCACACGGCTGTGCTGACACAGTGCTCCTTCGGCTTGTAAATGAGGAGCCGCCTTCCAAGGTGCTTGAGTATTGGTCTAAGACGAGGTCCAGGACGTATTCGTGAATCTGAAAGCTTGTACCCAAAGTTTTAGACGTTCATTCTACACCATAATTGTTCAATACGCATCTTATATTTTCTGAGCATTTTTGAAGCTAAAGACTCTCAAAGTTTATCCGACGTTGGCCATCATTGCAACTATCCCATCAATGTTTCGTAACCTTTCTCCACCATGATATCCATCCAATACACGTCCTGCTGCTTCTCGTCCATGCAAGACCAAGTCTCTCTTACAAGAACAGTCATTTGCCGTATAGGCTTAGCTGCCAGAATGCCCTCGAACGATGCGAGACGTGAGAGAACCAGCCGTCTAGCGTGTAAAATGTCGATCATGGTTGGCTTTGCTTTCAGTCTGGAACTGGAAGCAATGCTTGCCACAGGCCTGTCCACTAAAGAATCCAGCGAAGCAAACTCCCGAGTCATGGAAAGCTCGCTGCAGATGCTCACCAAAAGCAGTGGTTGAATGGACCGAGATCGCGACGTGATTGGAATATCCTGTAAAAGGTCCAGAATGTGTAGAGCAAGACAGGTCAGCCACGTCCCATGTAGAGCTTCTGAATCGTCGGGAACGTTGGGCTCCGACTCTCCGGGTACTTCCAGCCAAGCCGACGGACTGGCAGACGCCGTGTCTTGTAAGAGTAGATCGGGAAAGTTGCGGTAGAGTTGCAGCAGTCCAGTACACCTGTATGCCTCTGCAGCTTTCAACAGATGGTCGGTCGGCGTCATATCATCGCCCGATTCCATAACCGTAATCTCTGTTGGAAGTTCGATCTTGCAGAGCCTCGAGTGAAGCTGTTCTGCTATCTGAATGGCGGCAACGGACTGTTCGATGTCGTGCCTCGACGAGTGCTGGCGGCGACGAATCCGTTTTCGCTCTTTTCTGACCAGTGCCCCGACTTGGCCTACGACCTCTAGTACCTCTACTCCTATGCCTGTCTGCGGATGTGGCATCCTCGCGTCATTCCGATTGGGAAATCGAGGCGGCTGTGGCTGAACGGTTCCACTGGAAGCTGCCGAAGGCAAATCTTGGTCGCTTACGAAGGAAAGCAGCATCCTCCAGTAGACGAGAGAATTGTAAAAGAAGAAGCGTTTCTGTTTGTCTGCCATTGCCAAGTTATCTTGTTGGGCTTCGAGATGGATGAGTGTCTCAGCCAGTAATTCGAACTCAGATTGGCCGAGTTTAGACGGATCATGCCAGCAGAGACTGAAGCCTAGCATGACTAGTGCCAAAAGTGATGATGTATCCGTTGGGCCTGCTCTGCTCTCTTTCCATAGGGCGTTTACCGCCTGGTCCCGAAGTCGACCGCTGGCTGAGGAAAGGCCTGGTGAGACTTCGGCTAGGCAGGCTGCTGCCATGCTTTGAGTAACATAGTAGAGAGATGGCGAACTACCCCAGAGATTAGAGATAGTCGTTCTGTATGGGTTCAGCTTGCTGTCGTAGCAGGACATCATTCCGCACACTTCTTTGAAATAATATTCCACCAGCACCGATGTGTTGTCTTGTAATGAGGGCGATAGTGGAGATTCGTAGCGAGCCATGCTGGATGGATTCGAGTTGACGCGTCGGCCTAACACGTCGCGACTAGGTGAAGCGACTTGGGGACTAGGAATGATCCCCGGCCATAATTCATTGGCCTCGGTTTCGATTGACGGAAGAGAAAATGTTACCCCTGCGGACGAGGAGGGAGTTGGAGATAAAGCCGGTAGGTCTGAGAAGGGAAAGATAGGCTCCAGATGAGCGGCATCTTGAAAGTCTATACTCGAAGGGGTATCGATATTTGCAAACTGGTTGAGGAAGTCCGTGTCACCAATATACCTGCCAGATGGATTAAGGGACTGTAGATTTTGAATTGAGACTGTAGCACTTTGCTGGTGCCTTTCTTGTTCGCTAGATATCGGAGCCGTAATGTCGACCCTAGGCGGTCTAGAGGTAGGCGACCATCTGAGAGGCTTTTGATAGCCGGGACAAGGTATCCCGAGTCTTTTACATCTTGAACAATGTGGCTTAACTTCGTCGCATTTCAACTAGCATGAAGCGTGTTAGGACTTGACATAACAACTGGTGCATAATGTTGGCCTCGTACTCGCTTTGACTTGCATACTGCGCACCCATTTCGGGATCTGGTGATGATCTTTTGCGCCGATGACTGCATCGGATTATTGGACAAGGAATGACAGTTCACATCCAGATGGGGATCAAATGAGGATCAAGTGAGAACGAGACGATACCTCAATCGAATGAGGCAATCCCAGAATCGCTCAAACCTGCAATTATTGAGCAGTAAGCTTCCCACGTGCATGAACTGCGATTTGTCTCAGTGAGTGGAATGACTCGCGTCCGGATGCGGGGAGCTTATCGACAGTGGAGCGCTCGGAGGTTGCGTGACCCCAGCGAAGATGAACGCATGCCCCCCATCCACTAAACCAAATCAGGTTCCTCGAGGCGAAGGAAAACGATGCTGAAATGGGTAATCATCGATGAGGAACACTTCGGAGCCACTCTCTTCTCTTATTCAAAGTTTTTCTGATAAGACTTACTGGAAGCACTAAGCTACGCTGTAGCTCTGTCAAATCCCAGTGTTATCACTTCTGATCCTGCTACCTATCTTGCAAACATGGCGGCCGTCTCGGGGAATCGGTCTTTCAAAGTCGCACTGGTACAAACGAGTCCAAAGGTGAGCCCACTATCGACGTCACTTTAGCATGAACTATCACCAACCCTCATCTTTGCAGGTTCTGGATGCCGAGCACAACTTTGCCCATGCTTCCAAACAAATTCGCTTTGCTGCAATTCAGGGAGCATCACTGGCGGTTCTTCCAGAATATCATATGACAGGATGGGTGCCAGACGAACCCTCATTCGCACTGAGCTATGAGGAAGCTCAAAGCTTCCAACGCCGATACCAGCAACTCGCGGCCGAAGTGCACATCAACATATGCGCCGGCACAATCGTCTACCGCGCACCAGATGATCAGCATACCAAGGATACTTCCAAATCCAAGCCAACTCTTCTCAACACTTCTTACTTCATCGACCATGATGGAAAACTCTTAGGCGCTTATACCAAGACCAACCTCTGGATTCCCGAACGCAACCATCTGACTTCAAGCATCGACTACGCACACAAGATGCAAGTCGACGAGGGTACACCGAAGCCTCACCAAGTCTTCGACACTCCCTTGGGCCCCGTCGGAATACTGGTTTGCTGGGATTTGGCATTTCCCGAAGCGTTCCGACAGCTTGTTCTCGCAGGGGCAAAGATCATCATCATGCCCTCATACTGGACGCTGTCAGACATGAGCAAGGAGGGCTTGGAGTATAATGCTACTTGCGAGAAGATGTTTGTGGAATCCACGCTTACTACAAGAGCGTTTGAGAATACTGCTGCCATCATCTACTGCAATGCGGGAGGTCCTTCGGATCAGGGCTATTTTGGTTGCAGCCAGGTTGCATTGCCCATTGTCGGCAAGGTTCCCGGGAGCTTCACGGATGGTGAGGATGGGATGCGGGTAGTGGATGTGGATATGCGAGTTGTTGAGATTGCTGAGCGGAATTACCAGATCAGACAGGATTTGGGACGCGTCGATTGGCACTATGGGTATGTGAAGGGGTCCAAGTTGTAACTTCAGAAAGACGATAATACCAATCTTTAATAGTATGATAATATTATCCAGCTGAGGTGCAATGAGTGTCTGTAGATCTGGGCTCGTATTTGCCCTTGATTGTCAATTTACTCTACCTGCCGCGGATGACGCCTCAAAACCTCCAAGACATTCTAAGATAGTCATTTCTTGTAGCCCAAGAAAGGATCTCATCATCATATCAGGGAGAAAAGCACAACACCTCGCCTTGAAAGGGTTTCAGATGGAGCTCATCAAAAGGCATTGCTGTCAGGCTCTTTCACTAGTTCCTCGACGGCTCTTTTTGAGCACGACAGCATTGAGTTTGTCATATGATTCAATTTGTTGCGATTGCAGACTTTCTTTTACAGAATTACAGCTTATCATGTGGTAGGACGTCTATCCCTTTTGCAGCTTCCTGATTTTCGATAGGGTTCGCAGTCGGCAACTCCTCCCCAAGGATCAGCTCAAACTTGGGACCATTGTAGGTCTTTCTCTTGATCACCCAGAGTGCAACGGCATAAACAATGAAAACTCCAATGACAGCTGTCACGTAGTCTGGGATGTGTCAGATGTATGAACAACTCGCTGGTAGATGGAAACCTACTCATGGTGGAAATATCGATAGGAAGTGCTGGTGGGAAGCAAAAGAACTACGAGATATGTGAGCATTTATCCTCAGTCACCACATGCATCTTTACTTACGATAGAGGTGACGATAACGAAAAGCACCGACGTCCAGTTTGTCAGATAGCCCATGAAGCCTCCGCCCAGGGAGAACACGGGCGGATTATCCGTGACGAGTTTCCGGCCCCTGATTAGCAGGATCATGACTGGCATCGCATACGAAAGATTCAAGAACAGGGTGCAGCTTGCGATATAGGCATTAAATGCCACCTCAGGACCTATGCAATGTTATTTTCTGCGTCTCACGTTTATTGACTGGTAGTCGAACCAAGATAGAGAAGGCCAAATAGGATGTTGAAAATGGCCTGCACGACTATTGCACGTACGGGCACATTCAGCTTAGGGTGGAGGTGCGAGAGGCTTTCAAAAGACAAGATTAGCAAGACTGGCTCAAGTGACTTCATACTGTACTTACTACTTCGAAAATGGAGTTCCGTTGTCTCGAGCCATAGACCAGACCAAGCGACTACCCGATGTGACACAACCGTTGGCTCCGTTAACGAAACAGAGGGCAACTGCAACGCTTAGAACGGTAGCAGCTGCTTTGCTCCTCGTTGCTTGTAAGATCATTTCCGTCAGAGGGCTCTGCGTGGGCGAGGAAAGCAAGACGTCAATGTCGACGGCGCAGAACAGCATGACGAGGATGAAGGCGATACCCCTGTGTTGACTGTTAGGTGTACCAGACTATGTGATGCGGTGGGGGTTGTACTTACGTCGTACCGCCAACGATTACGGCACCGACCATCGCCTGAGGAGCATCTGTGGATGGTCTGGGCATCTCCTCGACCATGTGCGCCACAGCATCAAATCTGTCATGGTGTTAGTCATACAACAGCTGGTCTGATTCTAGCTACTTAGCGAGACGAACCCAATCAAACTGAGAGCAGACTGAAGAAGTCCAAGCATCCAAGCAGTCCCATCGCTCCAGCCGGTGGTATTGGAGAAATTTGTAAAGACGAACTCGGCATCCGTCTTTGGGGAGGTCGCGAGGAGAACGATACTGATCACGACGACGCTGAGCAAGGACCAATACACTTGAGAAGATTAGCAACCCAATCGATAGAATTTTATCTTTCAGAGTACCTACATGCTCCTTCGTTCCAGCGGTTGAGAATTGGGTACGCAAAGATGTTCAAGAATACTCCAATGATGGACACAGCGACGAACATCAAGTAGGTGCTCCACTGTGTGATCTCGTAGGAGCCGCCAGAGGCTGCGACGGCGGCTGCGGCGAGGAACCGGGCTTCACCCAGACTTAGCGAAGCTTCCAAGTTGTTGATGTAGGTTAATTCTCACCTCCAAAATACGCAGCGGTAGTGTTAAGCGTAAGCCAGCCAGCGATGTTGACCCATCCTACAAAGAAGCTCTAGTGCTTATTAGCACCCGATTTCCAGTTAGGCTGGGAGACGTGGGGTTTACCGTCATCTTCCTCCACTTCTTCGTCGAAAGTGCATAGGCATAGTGATACTGTCCTCCAGCTGTCGGATAGAGCGATGCAAGCTCTCCAACACTCGCACTCAAGGCGATGTTGCAGATGACACAGAAGATGAAGCCGTATACAAAGGACACCGACCCACCCGAGGGCATCACCAGACCAATGGACCCAGCTAAAGAGATCCAAGTACTTTGAAAATAACGTCAGTATCAAGATCTGTGGATCTAGCTCCAAGTCGATGACTAACTTGAGAATAGCGAAAGCCATGCCAATCATGGTGATTTTAGAGAATCGCTTCTGCAGGTGGCCATCTTGGTCGTTCGCTGATGATGTGGCCATGTCTTCTGGTGGTCTGTAACAGCAGAGCTTCAATGTTGTGAATTAAGGTAGAGGTAACTACAGTGACGTTCGCAACAGAAGGCGAATCTCTCATGTCCTCTTATGGTCCCTGAAGAGTGTTTCACTTGTACATCGCAGTGTCGCACCGATGATAACAAGGCAGATGATAAGGAGAGGTGCCTTTACGCTTAATAACATGCCAACAAACAGCAACGGGATTATCCTCTCGGGTAGCTGCGAAGCTGCGAGTAATGACGGTGGTCTAACAACACGCTATCCCCAAAGTGGTAGTCTTAAGCAAAGGAAAAGATGAACCCCACGGCCGGCTGTGGATCGGAGACGCAGCTGTGGAGGTCTATCAGCCGATCACCCCGCTTGCAATGATAACGGTCCCGAGTTGCGTCAATGCCGGCATTGATTTCCGCTGCGAACTGTGGACTTGGCTACTCATGTACATATGGTATTTTCTTGAGCACACTTTCTTTAATTTGATCCAGCCTTGCCTTCGCCAGAGCTTCGTTGCGATGTCTAGTTATTGCGACTCATCAACTAACTTGGAGCAAATCTGCTGCTCTAATTCACTACACTATGCTAGGGACTGCCGACCAGGCTCTGTACTGAGATGCGTGGAGCAGCACATGGCTAACTTTCCTCGATCGCACGGAGCCCATCGGTTTTGGACAATGGCCACTCTTCAATGCAACGAAATAGACACAAATCATCACAATGCTTTAGTTCGCTCAATATTTGTTTGAATCAGAGCACCTTCTTGTACACCTGGTTGCATTCAATCTCCTGAAGCCACAAGTTCCATGGTCGCATTAATGACCACTGTGTCGTTTTGTCAGAAGCCAAACATTCATCATGGCTTAGACTCTTCACGCCGCCCGTAACCCCAGTAACACCTTGAAGCATTAAAGCAGTGGTTTGGATGCTTGCATTCTTCTGCGTATACACTGCTCGCATCACGGCGAGCTCGATGCTACTAGCAACGACCGTGAAGCCATGCCCACGCATCAACGTCACATTATTACCATTATCGAAGTGTTTCGCCAAATGGGCGCCCATATTCTCACTGCGCACAAGTAGGTCATGGACGTCGCCGTCCTCCATGTGGTCCGCAGTATCGAATACCGGCAAACCGTTGGCACCTAGAAACCCGCACATGTGGCTAACAGCTTTGAGCGGAACACTGGATATCGTGTAGGGGACCACGGCCTCGGAGTGGCTGTGGACCACCGCGTTGACCTTCGGGTGCCGCTTGTAAATCTCTGAGTGGATTCGCCGCTCCGCAAAGCCCGGAGGTGACTCCGCTTCGAGTGGCTCGGCATCACCAACCCTGTAGGCGACAAGATCCCCGATGTCTGAAACCTGAGCTGGGGCAACGTTTCGAGACATTACAAAGATATCGGGGTCTAGAGGGTAGCGGAAAGACAAGTGACCGTAGGCATCAACGACTTGATGGAAGTGGAGAATGTGAGAGCCATCGATGAGTTTGCTGAAAAGCTTCCGAAGGTCGTCGGTGTGAGGAAGAGCAGCCATTTAAACACGATGTATTTCTTTTCGAACAATGGCGCAGGAATGTGAAAGGTTTCGAGGCGATGTCTGTTTTCTTGATGACGGCTGGATTTGAGAAAGGCTCAGAATGTCGCAAGAGCTGAGCGCTCATACAGAAGCAGCTGATCGACGGGCCGATGATCGGATTTCAGAAATCTGGCGGGGTACGAGCACCAACTGGATGCGGGGTCGTCGAGGGGGTGGTTTGAGAGTCTGGATGTATGGCACTTGGAAACCTTTTCGTACATGCACATAGGATTATCATGTTAATAATTGTTTATTTGTGTGAATGTGCGCCGATTTCCAGGTAGCAGTACATTTACTGACGAAACTGATCTTTTCTCCCTGCAACTTCAGTCTTGAGAGGAACTTCTTGGCCCTTTCGAAATGAGACCTAGCTCAACCAGAAGCCTCTCTAAGCCCTCTGTCTTGAATGGTTTCTGTATCAATGCGTCGAAACCGAGACTGCGAGTTCTGTCCATTTCTAGTCCCATCGATATGCCAGCGGCCATTATCACAATATAGCACGGCTTTAGCCTATTCTCGGTCTCGAATGCGCGAATGAGTCTTGTGGCATGCAGACCATCAATGACGGGCATCGAAGGCTGCATCAAGATGCATCGATACAGTTGGTGGCCTTTCTTGTATGCCTCGAAGGCTTCCTGACCGTTACATGCGAAATCGTACACGCAATTGTGGCCTAATCCGTCCATTTGCCTAGCGATGAGCTTTCTCACAACTCGATTCTGTTCCGCTACAAGGATGTTGATTGGCGGCGTGACTGTTGCTGCGATGGGAATGCTATCTGTCTGAGGTGTGCTTGAGAGACTCAATTGCTCTGTGCTCAGCTCTTCCAGTGGACGTGTTCCATTCTTCGGCATGGGTTCTTCGCTCGGGAATGCCATGTCGGCATAAGCATCATCCACTCTTGTCGGTGCAAGCGAAGCGATGGCAGGCAGGTTCGGAAGTGCTGTGATCAACAATGCATTGAAGAGGCAAGATGACACTGCGAATCTTCGCTCGAACACTACTCCCTCGATTATGTGCTTTGAGAGGCTTGCTGCCTGCTTGGCTTCCCACTTCTCGCTTAGGTACAGTAGGTACTCAAGGCGCAGCATTTCTAAGGTAGTCTGCTAATGTGGATATGGGTTCACAAGAGGCCTCGCATTGAGGTTTATTAGGTAGGGAATTGAGTTCAGGAAAGAAAATAGCTATGGCACGATGCAGTCCACCCAATTTTTCACGATAATTAGGACGATAGACTCGCTACTTTTCGGGGTTCGTTGAGAGCTGTGCTGCCTTGGCACAACCGTTCTTCATCAGCGTTTTAGGTGGGATGTGGTTCTTGCATACTCAAATAGGTATGAACAGCATCTCTCGTGATACATCTCCAAGAGATTATTATGGAAATCGTACGCTCCCCGCCCCGTATTATTGTGAAATGTCAAGACGGGGTCATCATCTTGAACCAGTCGCGCCCGATGCCGACTCCGTCGGAGGCGTGGAACCGCGCAACTGTGGGGCCGACTTACGGGATCGGGTTGAAAATCTTGGCAAGGGCCCCGAACGAGTTCTGAGCGTCTGGCATCGAGAGGGGGATGAGGTAAGTCGCCGGCTTCGAACTCAAGTCATTTCTCACGGACTCTTCGGGATTCGGCTACTCCGTATTGCCTCGTTCTCGCAACGTTCCAGAAGCTCTATCCCTGAAGCTCAGACTCGTGTCGAGACGCATCTCCCAATGAGACCGCCGTAAACGCGAGACATGTCCAAACTCTGTTCTACTTACCTTGCCATCTCGCAAGGCAGGGCGCCGGACCTCTTCATCTCTCCTGCAGAGTGCTCCCTCTCAACTGAGTGGATTGCAAATGGCTGGGCGCCTCGAACAAATGAACTCTGCCAAAAACAAACCCCTCGGAGCCACTTCCCCGCGTCCATCTTCTCCAACATTGGGTTTCCGCTAGGGTACCTAAGGTGTTAGCTCAATGACGCCGAGTTCTGGGGTAACGCACTTGGTGGAACTGCGTGACACCCCTAGATCCATTTTCGCTTCGCCTCGCATGAAAAAGCATCTGCCGGCTGTTCGTTTCGGGATCTGGTGGGACAAGGGAGAGAGTCAAGACTGGGGGAAGCTTGGAGCTCGGGTGCTCGGTCAAGCAGCAGCAGTGAAGCACGGCAGATCGGTAAAAACCCCAAACGCTACAACCCCCAAAACTGCTTCTCCAAAGGCGTCTTTTGTGTTTTTTCTATGAAGTCCGACTCCGTGACCTCGGTAAGCGGGCCAGCACCTTGGTATTTGGATTCCCCAACCTTCCCCAAGGATCCAGCTCCATATCTCGAGCTTGACGACTGCATAGAATCATTGTCGCAACGCCAGTATTCCCAAGACTCTGGATATCCAACTTTTCACAAAAAGATCGTCATTGTAACGCAAATACCTAGTCACGTCTCCGTGATCGAGAATTGGTTTCGCTGTGCCAAGCTGCGGCCACTGGAGTTCGATCGAGTATAGAGCTGAGGAGATTCGGATAGCTTCCAATCTCAAAGGGAAATAAACAGCAACAATGGCACTCGGTAAGAAGACCTTGTTTGCGATCCTTCCCCGAGTTCTCGAATCCAGACCAATTGGCGGGCGTTGGCCACCGCAATAGCTATGAACGCGCACTCACTCGATAGTAGTCACGGCGGCAGCGCTGGCTGGCAGCATGGTCTCCAGCATGTACGTAGATGCCAAGTACCACATCTCCAAGGATGTCAAGACCCTTCGAGGTCGACGAACGATGACCAAATTTGTCGAAAACTCAAGTAAGGACTGCCGGAGCCTACTAGAAGCTCGTAAGATTAACGCAGGATACAGTCAAGAGCAGCCGTGTTTCTCCCTATTATTTCTTCGAAGAAGCGGTCCAAAAGGATCCCTATGGTGAAGCCATCTGGACACGAGGCGGTAGTGTGTCATGGAAGATGACATACGATAGAGCGAACCAGTATGCACAGATGTTCTTGTCGCAAGGGGTAAGACCAGGCGACTTCGTTGCGATTCTCATGCAAAATTCGCCCGACTTTGCATTTGCCTGGGTTGGGCTGCTTGCAATCGGCGCGGCGCCCGCCATGATCAACTACAACCTAGTGGGCAAAGCCCTCCTCGGCTGTATCGAGATCAGTACCGCCAAGCTCATAGTCGTCGACGGAAGCCCCGATATTGCGGCCAAGTACAACGACGTACAGACCGAATTGGATCTCAAGGGAATCAGAGTCGTCAACATCGGAGAAGAGAGGGAAAGGATATACCAGACGGATCCTATTCGTCCGCGAGACGAGCTTCGGAAGAAACTGACGCCTGCCGATGCAATGGCCATGTTTTACACGAGGTAAGCTCATTGGAATTGGGGCCTGACTGCGATATCTGACAATTGCAGTGGAACGACCGGCCTACCCAAGGCCGTCATCATGCCTGCTGCTGCTGCGGGTGGCCTCGCATTATCGGTGAGTATTTGTTGTGCACTCTGTTTTCCTCCAGCTTGCTGATCAGCTTAGAACGACATTGGCCTGCATCCGACAAAGGGCGGGAATGAAAGATGCTACATTTGCATGGTAAGTGAATGCGCCTATATTGTGATGACTGAAGTCTCTAAACGGATTGATATAGCCGTATTATCACGGGACTGGCGGTATTACCATGATATCACAGATTTTGGTGAGTACTTCCCGCCTGCTATTAGCGACTTCTGGCTTACACGTTATAGTCTGGTTCTACAGTCTGCATGGCGCCCAAATTCAGTGTCTCAAACTTCTGGGAAGATGTTCGTGACTCCCACGCCACTTGGTTCGTCTACGTTGGCGAGACTCTCCGATATCTCTTAGCCTCGCCCCCCTCACCGCGCGACAAAGACCACAACATCCATGCTGTTTTCGGCAACGGCTGCAGACCCGACGTATGGAAACGGTTCCAAGAGAGGTTCGGCATCGACACGGTGTGCGAGTTCTATAACAGCACCGAGGGCGCATTGGGCCTTCGTAACCTATCTCGGGGAGACTTCTTCGCGAATGCTCTAGGTCACCACGGGCTTTTGCTACGACTCAAGTACAGAAACATGGTGGTACCTGTAGAGATCGATGCGGAAACAGGCAATATCCAGCGAGATCCCAAGACTGGCCTGGCCCTGCGCGCTTCGTATGAAGTCGGCGGGGAGATCTTGGTCGAGCATCCTGGAGAGCGAGCGTTTCCGGGCTACTTCAACAACGAGGATGCCACCAACAAGAAGTTTGTCCGTGATATCCTCAAGAAGGGCGATTGCTTCTATCGGACTGGTGACTCTTTGCGACGCGATAGTGAAGGCAGATGGTTCTTCCTTGATCGGTAAGTGTCAGAAAGATCTCGCTTCGGCTGCATTTGCTCACCCATACACCTAGCCTAGGTGACACGTACCGCTGGAAAGGTGAGAATGTCTCGACCGCGGAAGTCTCAGAGGTCCTCGGTAGCTACCCGGGCGTCAACGAGGCAGTCGTCTACGGCGTCCAGCTTCCCGGGCATGATGGTAAGGCTGGTGCGGCAGCCCTAGATATCGCTGCGGATCAGAAGGGGTCCTTTAACTATGCCGATTTCCTCAGGTGAGTAGACTTGGCCAAAAGGTTTTGCACACAACGAGACTGACCCGTCTACAGTTTTGCACGATCAAAGCTCCCGAGATATGCCGTGCCGGTTTTCATCCGACTCTTGAACGAGGGGACAGCAACGCACAACAACAAACAAAATAAGGTGCCGCTGAAGAATGAGGGCGTGGACCCAAGCAAGATCCAAGGTGGCGATCAATTGTTATGGATTGAGAAGCACGGGAAAGGCAGCACATATGTCCCGTTTACTCAAGATGACTGGAACAACCTCGGTATGGGGAAGGCTAAGCTGTAATTATTCTAGAGAGACACGTAAATGAACGGTGTGACGAGAGGTCACACACATAAGCTCAAAAATTTTATCGAAAGGCCGGCCA